TTTTTTTTTTTTTTTTTTTTTTTTTGGTTTATATTCCATTCTAGGATCAATCTTGTGTTGCTTAATGGCAGCACAAAGATTGGGATGTTCTACTGTAGGGTTGTGAAGCTGGTTCTAGGGAGAACTTCTCCAGGCCCCCAGGTGAAAGCTAGTTGTTGCATTGTAACATGGACATATTTGCTCCTTATTTCCAAGTTATTCTATTCACTTGGATGAGATCTCAGTATGTAAGTTGGGGCAACATTATTATTTTTGTCTGATATTTGAAAGACTTGTCACTTGAGAGGTACTTTGCAGGTGCAAATGTATTCCTTRGTCTTTGAAGATATTTTTTCATATGTCTTGGGTCTTTGGTGTGAAAATGAGATTATTCTTTCTTCATTCTACTTACTTTACATAGCRTAGATGTGCTGTGTTTTTTCTCAGTGCCAATGTTTACATTGACACTGATGCCTAGACAGGTTGGTAATTCTGGTCTCCATCTCAAATAATGTTCCAGGCTAGAATTTGGGGTTAAAAATTTATTTCTGTATATGAAGTAAGTAACGGGATCTGGCTGTCAGAAGYGTGGTTGTTCGACAGCTGATACTTTAGTGACTTTTGGTCTGCCTGATGGAGACTGGTGGCACTGCACAGCAGGGAATTGCTCCATCSCTGGGCACCTCCGAGCAATCCCGGCTAAGGCCCTGTGTGCTACAAACTACCACCCTGGACACTTGATAAAACATTTAAGGGGAGGTGTAAATTTTTTATCTGGAAGAGTTTATGTTTCTTCAGTTTGCTGGACAAGAATGGTTTTATCAGCCATGATGATATTTTGAGAACCTTGAGAGGAGAAGTTTCCACTATTGATGTGACTTTCCCTGTGGGTGTCTATCACATTAATGGGTGGGTTAGTTGTGTTTGTGGTTTTTCGCTTAGTGACATACTTAAAAAATAAGATACGTATTTCCCCAGTAACAGGATTTGAAGCGTCGAAGTTGAAAGGTAAAAAGAGGATCTTAGTAAAAATATGTATGTTTACACATCATGGAGAAAGTAGATGGGGTTTTATTGGTTAGTTATTTTTAAACACGTTCAAATTAGGAATGAAGTTGTGCTAACGTGCTTTAAGTGTGTATTAACTGCAAAGTAAGAGTGATCAAATGATATGAAAATTACAGTGAAATCTCAAGACAAATGTGAGAGATCTAGTATGTTGACTGTTACTTTTTTGYGGCAGTTTTGTCTTTAAGCACAGATTATCATAGGATTAAATGAGCTCTGTTAAGGTTTGTGGAAATTCATGAAAAAATGTTAATGTGCTTATGACAGAAAATGTTATCAAACTTAATTTCACAAATATCTACTATGATGACTATTCCTGTTCTAACTTAGGCTTATTTATGAGTATCAGCTGTGTTATAAACTAACTTCTTTGTGTTTCATGTATTGGGTTTCCTCTATGACAGGAAGCTTGCACTGAGGTGATTTTAATGCAGGACTTCTTATTCTTCTACTTTTTTGTACTTTTTTGCTGCTTACATAGTTTGGGAAGAGGGACTATGGAATGCTGGATCAGGTGCTGTCTTTCTGCTGTCGATCAGTATAAGATGATTAAATAGGAAAATTCCTAAACTGGAGTAAGTAACCCTGGGCTGTCATATCAATTAAACTCAGCAGTTTAAGTTGGACCTGTATGGTTTGAGCTTTAGTATTGCTGAACTTGCTAATGTATTGCTGTTGCTTTGAGGGATGTTTTTGGTTRTATTACAGATATTTTAAGGACATAGGTTTCATTTTGCTTTGTTCCAAAATATAAATTTAAAAAAAAAAAAGAACTACTGCATCTAAAGAGTAGATGCTTGCAACAGCAGTCATTGCTTTGCAACAATGCAAGCTTTTGCTAAAGCAAAGCATGATTCAGTKCAGCAGCATTCAGGGAGATGATGCTCTGCCTGCCAAGAGCTCAAGTTAACCAAGGAGCTGTAGCRGAGTTTGCAAGGGCTGTGTGCATGCACTGCGCGCACAGCAACTTTCGGGCAGCTCTAGTTGTCTTTACCTTCCCAGTGTTTTATGTTACTCCAATGTATCGAACTAAATCAGGGGAGTGACTAATGAAAAAAATGCGTGTCTAAGGAGCAGAGAATTTATGTGAGGGGAGCAAAAATTCAGACAAAGAGATTAAATTGATGGGAGGGTAGCTTTCTTATATTAAAAAAGACTCAACCAGGCTTGTTGCCCTCACAACAATGAGAAAACTAAACCTTTGGGATTCCAGGGCACTACCTAATATCTATAAAAGAAAGGCAAGATCTTCAAAAGCTTTGATGATTTTAATTGAGGAAATGAATCCATAGATCACAGAATGGTTGAGTTTGGAAGGGACCTCCAGACATCATCTAGTCTAAAACCCCTGCTCCAGCAGGGACACCCAGAGCACGGGGCACAGGGCGGCATCCAGGCGGGTTGGGAAGATCTCCAGAGAAGGAGACTCCACAGCCTCCCTGGGCAGCCTGTGCCAGGGCTCTGGCACCCTCACAGGAAAGAAGTTCCTCCTCACATGGAGATGGAACTGCCTGGRTTTCAACTTGTACCCATTGTCCCTTGTCCTATGTCTGTCCACCACTGAGAAGAGCTTGGCCCCTTCCTCCCTACATTCTCCCCTCAGATACTTATACATATTGATAAGATCCCCTCTCAGTCTTCTCTTCTCCAGGCTGAACAGGCCCTGCTCGCTTAGTCTTTCCTCATACAAGAGATGTTCCAGTCCCTTAATCACCTTTCTTGCTCTTYTCTGGRCYCTCTCGAGAAGCTCCACGTCCCTCCTATACTGGGGAGCCCAGAACTGCCCCCAATACTCCAGATGCGGCYTCACCAGAGCTGAGGAGAGGGGCAGGATCCCCTCCTTCCTCCTGCTGCCAACACTGCTCCTCGTGCAGCCAGGATCCCATTGGCCTTCTTGGCCACGAGGGCACACTGCTCACTCATGGTTAACTTGGTGTCAACCAGGACTCCYAGGTCCCTCTCCRTGGAGCTGCTYTCCAGCAGGTCGACCCCTAATCTGTCCTRGTGCCTGGGTTTCTTCCTGCCCAGGTGCAGGACCCTGCACTTTTCCTTGTTGAACCTCATGAGGATCCTCTCTGCCCAACTCTCCAGCCCGTCTAGGTCCCTCTGAATGGCAGCACAGCCCTCTGGAGTGTTGACCACTCCACCCAGCTTGATATTGTCCGCAAACTTACTCAGGGTGCCCTCTGTGCCCTCGTCCAGGTCATTGATGAACACGTTGAACAGCACCAGGCCCAGTGCTGGGGGACTGCTGCGGGGCACCACTGACCACCGGCCTCCAAGTATCACAACCTCTGAGCATCCAGCCAGTATCTCAATCCATCCCACTATCCATTCGTCTAACCCATTCCTTCTGAGCCTCCCTGTGAGGATGTTATGGGAGGTGTTGAAAGCCTTGCTGAAGTGAARGTGGACAATATCCATGGCTTTCCCCTCATCCGTCCAGACATAATAAAGAAATAATGAACTCATAAGTATAGTTTGGAATAGCAAGAATAGTTTTAAGTACAAGTTTATGATATGGTGCACATACAGAAAGGCATTTTCTCCACTAATGGTGAATATCAGAAGAGTCATGACTTCAAGGAAAACCTCAAGGTGATGTGAACTGAGACTAGTTAATACTTCTATGAATGCTCTTTCTGAAACCATCAGTTAATACTTGGACAAGTGTCATGTTTATGTCACATAAAGCAGTGCCATATTTTTGCTAGAAGTGAGGTTGTACCATAAAATTTTGCCTTTGGTGCCTACTATCATATTCCTTTTCCAGCAATTCATTCTTCTAGATGTTGCTGACCAGATTACTTATGGTGGTCACTTTATCTGGATGCATACCAAATGGTTGCTGTATTACACTGCTTTTTATGCTACTGTTTTTCTGCACTCCTATGCTTTACTTCCCATTAGTACTTTTAAATTAGTCRTATCGTTCCTTTCGTTATCTAAAAATAATTTCATGATAACATCTTGCAAAAGAGTAGTTGCCCGTAAATCAATACATCCCATGCTATAACTAGGATCTTTGGGAAGGAAGTGAAATGTTACTGAAACTGAAATAAAGTTGCATGTCCAAAGAGGAAAAACAGTCATAGAATAAATAATATTTCAACTTCTGCTTTGGCTTGAATTGTTGGATGAGAGTTTCTGTTCTGTTGCCAYGACTGTACAGACACAGCTTGAGCTGAACTGCTGGGTGTATTGTGCTCGATATTGTCCCAGGCAGTTTTAAGTAAATGTGTATTAAAAGCTTCTCTGCTTGCTTTCTTCCAGGTGTCCTGTTTGAAAGTCATGCTTGTATGGGGAGAGAAATTCTGTTTTCATAGACTTCCCTGTTTTATTAATTTCTTCCTTAATAGCTGTAATGATTTTTGGATGTCTGTCATTCATACATATAAATGTCATATAAACTAACTTAAGTATGTTTTCTTGAGTGGTARATTGGGACATTCTCTCAGGTAGTTCACCTGCTGTTTATAGATTCCAGAACAGAAGTTACACCTAATCCATAAAGCAAAGGACATGCATATATTGGTCTTGAGTAGATTTTCATGTATATTTTGCTAGCAAGAAAGAGGCGTTTTTTTCCCTGCAGTGTTGTGGTATCTTGTATAGGGGCCTTGCATGACCGCCTTAGCTACAGAGAACCTTGKTTTAATTTTAGCCAGGCAGCTAATTCCATGAGAAATGTTGGAAAAAAATAGCTGATGAGTGTTCAGCTGTGAAAGACTTTCCTTCGTTGGTGGCTTATTTTTTCCTGTCTACTTGAAAGGCGAGTTACTGAGATTTAAAAAAACCAAGATGCTGTTGTGCTTACGTGTTCCAGTCGCTTGTCTCAATATGTTAATGTATTTTAAAAGGTGAGGTTTTTCTCTAAAATGGCATTTGTTTTGCTTTCTGTCTTTAAGATAAAGCACCTTTGTCGAAGAGTCTTTTGCTAGTCCCAAGTGCCATCTCAGTTCTATTGACTCTACTCTTCCAACATTATCAGAAGTTCTTTGCATATAACCTACAAGCTATAAAGGAGGATTTTCAGGTAAGAGTCACTTGCAATGACTTTTCACACAAAATTAAAGTACTGTCTTCTCTATGATTTTTTTTTCCCAGCAGCTTATCTCCTCTCTTCTGTATTTATTTTCTCCTTTTCACTGTCTTAGACTAACTTGTCCTTTAGCTCTTACTACTTTACCGTAGTGGGCTATGGTATGTAACAGGCTATTACCCGCTTTTTGGTAGAAATGAGAAGAATTCATCTGAAGCTGTTGACATCATCCTGTTGTTTGGGAAATGCTTATTTTTGTATCCTCTCTCCTTCCAGCCGCTGACAATTTTGAAGCTCACTGTGAATGAAGTGTGAATTAACACATGTAATAATGTAAATATTTTGATATGATCAGTTAGAAATTGAAAAGGGCTATTTGAGACCAGCTACTCTGATTATGAATTACTTCATTTGAGAACAGAACTTCTGCTTTGAGAAATTATGGGAAACTTAAAATTTGTCAACTGCTGCCAATTTAAGGACTCCAAGTGATGGAGAACTTGTCATGCTCCTCAGTAATCCACTGAATTAGTTACTTATCTCATYAGACACTTGTAGCTGATTCTCAACTTAAACCAGGATATTTTATCTAATTCAGGCATTATGCCTTTTAAAATTTTACTCTGCTTAATTAAGGAATTCTGTGATATCAGTCTAATGCTGGAGAGCCTGCATGTAGAAATGTCACTAGGTATGGGTTTTTTTGGAGCGAGGGGATTGTTGTTGACTGTTTTTCCTGTTTGGAAGCAGTGCACTATTGCTGAGCAGAGAAAGGTCAGCAAATACCTCTATAATTATCATTCCCCATAGGTTTTCTAGCCAAGGAAGTATTGAGTCAGCTGAATGTCTTTGAGCATGCTGACTGTAGCCTTTAAGCCATAAAAGATGATTATGTTATGCTTAGTGGGGAGAGAACATAGTGAGAAAGGACATGGAAAAGACTCAAATTTTSCAGGCCTTTTTGGCATCCGTTTGTTATGGCAAGGTATGTCCCCAAGGTTTAAAGCCCACCGAGTCTCCTACTAGAGTCTGTGGGAGTGATGCAGCCCTGACCCGTAGGGGACAATACAGTAAGGGATCACTCACGTCACCTGGCCACACACAATTCAGTGGGACCAGATGGCTCCAGTGGTGCCAAAGGAGCTGGAAATGGAATTGTGAGGCCTCTACGTGCCATCTTCAAAAGATCATGGAAATTGGTGGAGGTATCCCGTGACTGGAAAAGGGCTTTCGGAGACAAAGCAACAAAGGTCGTGGAGACAAGCAGCCGTCTGAGCTGTACTAGTGAGAGCCTGGCGAGCAGGTCCAGGCAGCGGATCCCTCAGACATCTGTCTGTAAGAGCATATTTAGAGCACCAGGACTGCGTCCAGTTCTGGGCACCGCAGCACGGGAAAGACATGGACCCGCAGGAAACAGGTGATTACAGAGCTGCAGCACTTGATGTGCAAGGAAGGGCTGTCCAGCTTGGAAAAGAGAAAGCAGAGGGAAGCACATTGTTGCTGCCTGCACGTGCAAATTTGCTGTCTGCAAGGGTACAGAGCTTGTAGCCAGGTGCTTGGAGGAGGTGGGCAGCAATAGAACGAGAACCAATTGAAACAACTTGGGAAACATGGGAAAWTACAATTAAATATATGTGTGCATTTTTTTGTAAAACATGAGTGGGAAAACACTGGAATAGGCTGTCCAAAGAGGCTCTCCATCTCTGGGAATGTTCAGGACACAATGGGACTAGTCTCTGGGCAAGCTGGTCTGATTGCACCTGCTTTGAGCGTTACATTGGACGAGATGATTTTCCCAGTCGCTTCAAAAACAAATGACTCTGATTCTGTGATTAGCTAGAGTTATGATTTCTATTTATAAATGTGAATGGGGTCATAAAAATGGATTTGACTTGTTAAAATACACTTAGAATTTTAACAAATAGACCTCTCCCTAGAAAACTGCTCCATTTCTAAACAAGCTTCTAGCACCCTACTGCTGAACATTCTTCTGTCTTTATCTTTCTGCTTAACTGTTGTAACATATTTCTGTTATCTTTCTTCAGTATTACTTTTGCTGTGGGCACAAATTCTGTRAAGAGTTTCTATGAGGCAGGGAGGAGAGATTTAACATGGTAATCTTTAACCTTCTAGATTTGGAGACTTCTATGTGGGAGAACAGTATGCCTTGATCTGAAAGACACATTCTGCAGCAGTCTGCTCATTTATAACTTTAGAATATTTGAAAGAAGATATGGCAGCAGAAAATTTTCAGTAAGTTTCAGTTACTTTTTTTTAATATAAACTGTTTTCTCTACCTTTTAGAATCTTTTTGTCTTGAACAACTTTATTGCTGAAGTTTTGTGTGGAAATATATTTTAAAGGGTTTAAGAGTGAATTTATTTCTATAAACCAAAATTTATTGATTTTTTTTTTATCTAATCAATGGATTATTMTAAGTAATGTTTTCAACAATATCAAATGAAAGTTACTGGAGCCAAAGATTGCTTGCCAAAATTAAATTCTAAGACTTTTTCATCGGTATCTGAATGTTTATATGTGGAATTATGCTATACTAAAAGCTACATCTGGTTTAATTGAATAAATAAGAGTGGATTTTTTTTTGAGATGTATTAAAAGCTTAATTTTAAACAGTTGAATTCAAGTGCAACTAACCTGTTTGGGTTATACCTTTTTTTTTTTTTTTTTTTTTTTTTTTTTTTTTTTTTTTTTTTTTTTTTTTTTTTTTTTTTTTTTCCCTCCAGTCATTTTTGCTGGGTGCCTGGATGCTCTCAGCTCTGTTTGACCTTCTCCTTGTGGAACTTGCTCAGTATATACTTGGCTTCACCATCAACAGCTTGCCTTCTGGTTTGTAAGTAGATTTTAATGGGTGGTTCACTTCTGGTAATTTTGAATGTGATTTTTGATTTTGAATTTTGAATGAAGATTCGAAGGATTGTTTTGTGCAGATTTTAGTGAATAAAACTTTTCAGGCAAATTTCAAATTAAATTTGATCCTCTTTTGAATTACTGTGTAAATGTCATGGCATACCTATTATATTTCCGAACATTTGTTTCCTGGTTGCGATCTATTTTATTAATAATTTATCCATATAATGCTTACTGTTCATTCTGTTACTGCTCATTTCACTGCTAGCGTGACTGAAACGTGACTTGCAGTGTGCTGCAGGATATTGCTTTTTTTCTTTTCAACAAATCTCAAGCTTGGTGCTGATTGCTTTCTTAAACTACGAAGTTAACCATGACATATAYTGGTGTTCACTTTAAAATGAACATACAGTACTAAGCATTTCGTATTGGTATTTCATATGATGGTGTTTCAGAAACTGAGTGCTAGAGCATGTTACTACATTTAACATTTTCGTTTGAAGTTCATTTGAAGCTTTAAGGTATTCAGTAGTTCAGTTTCACGTGACCTGTTTTTGAGATTTCTGCACTTAGGAGTAAAAGAACAGTCAGTCAGTCTGTGTTCAAGTGTGTGTTAGAGTAGAGCTGGAGAGCTGGCAGAGCCTTTGTGGTTAAGCTTCTGACAAGGGAGGCCAGTCCCAACATAGGCTTGAGTTTCCATATGTTGCAGGCTCTGAGTTCTCGGAGACAGACTTGTAATATTGAGTCTCATACAAGACTTTCTGGTTGCAACTTCTGTAGTATGTCTCTTGGAAGTAGGGTTTAAAAGTGGATTTAATAAGGAAGAAAAAATGTGTATTTGATATTATAAAAGTAGTTATAGTTCTTGCAGTATGCATGTATTCAAAAAGAGTTGAAAGCTTGAGTAATAGTGCAGTTATTTTTATGGCGATGTGTTATGATGGGTGGTGCTATGATGTTTTATGATGCTACTTTAAAGCCTGTTGCAGGGACCTGAGCTGCTAGTGTGTCTGGACAGATTCAGTGCTTTCAACTCTGTAAAAAGACACTTTGTGTGAGAAGTGAATGTGTGCGTCACTCAGGAAGCTAATGAACAGGTCAACTGTTATACTTTTTGATGATATTTTTATCTGTGCTTTCAGAGTATTATCAGTCACAAAAAAAGCTTGTTAAATTTTTAGATAAATGAATGATGTCACCTATATATGTTTACTCTTAAATCATATTAATGTATTGATCTTGGCAGAATGAAGCTGACTCAGAAGCATAAACTACACAGTTTCGGGTAAATTTGTCTATGCAAATATTAAAAAAAAAAGATATATTGCATCAAAATTCTTTTTTTTTTTCTGTGCTTTATTATTACTAATAGTCATTCCTTCATATCCTGCAGTTTTTAGAGAGGACACTGTTGGGCAGCAGTTTTAATTCCTTCCGGGTTTGCAGAAAGTGTTAGCAAATATGAATAAGAGCAGTTATTGCCCTGTTTGATTCAGAGTTATAGTGCAACCAACGCATCTGTTGCTTCTGGGTGCAGAACATAGTTCGGTGTAGTTAAAATGCTAGAATTCAGAAAATGAATTATTTGTTCACATTATAAAATTCCACTGACTTTTTATCCCGCCACCCCCCTTATATCATTTCGCTGTTCAAATTACTGAGTGATCTTACACTTGCAGTTCGAAAACTCTTCCTGCGCACACTTCGAAGGTAATTTCGATACAGGATCACGCTGATGACTCTAGCCTGAAATTGCTTGGAGACAATATAGTACAGAATAACATCTAAGCATGTGCTGAGATTCATGAGAAAGGTGGTGAAGGCTGCCCAGGGGCTGTAAGTCATATCTTCAACCTGCAGCATCAGGAAGGAGAAGCAAATGTGGAAGGGTACAAAGCAGATGAGTACCTGGGCAATTAAAGTCACTATGATTCTGATGGATCTCTCCTTGGCCTTAGGCTTCAGCTTGGAAGTTTTGCCATGGATAAAATTGTAAATAATAACCAAGTAACACCCTATCATGATGAAGAGAGGTATTAAGAAGAAGAAAATCAGGCGAGAAAAATTCAATGTGTTCACTTCCTTCAAGTGGATGATATCAAGCATCTTAATGCAAGTGGTAAAATTTGAGTCTCTGTCTGGATCTGAAGATAAAAACAGCAGTGGGGAAGTTGTTGCCAGGGTCGTTACCCAGATTAAAGTGCAAGCCAACAGAGCTTTCTTTGTATTTTTTAGTTCTTTAACATGTTTGGGCTGGACAATAGCCATAAATCTGTCTACGCTTATAAAAGTAAGCAACCACAGCGCGATGGCTGGGTAGAAAACAGTGAAGGCGCTGATAATCCGGCAGAAGGCATCCCCAAAAGGCCATCTCTCTTTCCCGTGGTAGATYATCCGAAAAGGCAAGGAAAAGACAAAAACCAAGTCAAGTAACGCCACGTTCATCATATACACGGTTATGGTTGTTCTCTTCTTGGTAGTGCAGCTGAAAACCCAGAGCGCGGTGGCGTTCACGAGCAGTCCCACTGCAAACAGGAAGCTGTAGAAGACCAGTGAGGCGATCCTGAACTCTTCAGGGTGCTGATTTGCCAGGGTCATCTTCTAAGTGAWTTTAGGAGTAGTTTTCATACCTCATCAATAACCTAAAAATAAATAAAAGTATGAAAGGTCATTCTCAGTCAAGTACTATCTCAAAACTTTCTGTAAAAACAAACAAGAAGATGATTTTCACAGGATGTGATTTAATAACGTAGTAGTTTTGTTTGATTGTCAAAATGTACTAGCCTTGTTGCTCTGCCTGTTTACAAATACATTCTGTGCCCTGAGGAAGGTACATGCACCTTCAGTCTTGTGGGAAGCAGTGTTTATAAGCTGGTTTTAATAAAATCTTGAATTACTTGAGAGATTTCCTAAAGAAGAAATCAGAAAGAAAGTTAAGACCAACCAGTTATTCTGAATTTACTCTAATAGCTGATAGAAATAGCCTTTTATTTTGTCATGGAAGAGGGTCGCTTTCAAAACAAATTATTTCTTRAAGTTGGTCTTGTTGAAAAATTAGTGACTAAAAATAATTAAAATAAGTGAGCATGGAGTGTGGAGATATTTGGATATGTCAAGTACAGTATTCACATTGCCTTTTATCTGTGTCAGAAGCTACATTGATTCCAAAAGAGTAGATGTATGTTGTTGCTCATAGAAAATAATTAAAAACTATTGTCTCTAGAAAATAATTAAAAACTATTGTCTCTAGCTACTAATATAGTGTTTATTCCCAGTGATTCAGGATGAGCCACATGACATATGAAGAAGCTGAATAAATGTATAGGCTTCCTATTTGAAAAGGTGAGAAGATGGAAAGGAGAGCGGTGTGAGAGCGAGGGGAAAGGGTATTTTTGGCGCAAGCATTCGCTGCGAGCCTGCTGCTCCAAAGCTTGGTTGTGCTGCTGCTCCCAGCCTCTTGGTTGTAAGAGTTGGGAATCTGAGGTTCTGCTGGTGCTCGGCTGGTGAGAGCTGCAGGAGGGGATCCCTCAGCTTCCCCCAGGGCTGCCTGAGCCGGGTAACTTCACCTGGTGGATGCCGAGTGCTTTGGGTAGTTGAGCCCTCCCGCAGCTTTCTGGTGCTTGGCTTTAGCACAGTGGCATGACCTCTTTGCATGGGAGGGTTCCTCTTCTTGGGCCATTTACCCAACCCTGGGGCAATTTTCTGAAGGGGAGGAGGAGGAAAGCTGAGTCATTTCTTTCTTCATCCTCCCACTGGTGACAAACAGCCAGTTAACTGCACAGCATCATTAGGCACCAAAACTTTCTCCACAGCAGAAGAATACATAATGATTGTGCACGTTATCCCCCAAAATGGAAGAATATATATTTTTCAGAAAGAAAACCTCTTAGACTTACTGCATATGTTTTAGGCATTCTCTAAAATGTTTACCGTACATTTTATTCAGAGCTGTAGGAAAGACGTACATTGAACCAGGGTGTGTTAGTCTAGTAGCCTGGTTTGAGTGGCAAATACCAATTTCTTTTGAGAAGAAATAGTCTCTAAATAGTCTGAATATTCTCTGAATAGCAAATTGTGTAACAAATGCTTAAAAAAAAAATGTAAAAAATGCAAAAGCTATTGGAGATCTCACTGAACAGTAAATGCCAAATGCTTACAGAAAATGTTTGTTGCATATGCTTGTAGTACAGCAGGAATATTTTCTGTCACACTGCTCCATTTTTATCACTGTATTACTTAAAAAAGAATATATATATATATATATATATCCACAAACCGAAGCACCAAAAATTCCACAGGAACTTAAGGAAAAATTTCTTGACAGTGAGGGTGACATAGGCCTGGCACAGGCTGCCCAGGGAGGCTGTGGAGTCTCCTTCTCTGGAGATCTTCCCAAGCCGCCTGGATGCCGCCCTGTGCCCTGTGCTCTGGGTGTCCCTGCTGGAGCCAGGAGGGTTGGACTGGGTGATCTCTAGAGGTCCCTTCCAACCTTAAGGATTCTATCCATATATTTTAAGTGTGGATTGACCTTGTTGGAAATGTTTGAGAAACCTTATTTGAAGTTGTATGGCCCCAACTCTTCCAGCAAGGCTGTGTGATGTGACTATGTATAGTACAGTCTTTCTTCCCTGCAATGTGAAAGTGTTCTTAAACACGAACAGTAAAAGCCCTCATAAAAAAACTGAATATGCTTTGCCTTTGGGTTTTTTCCTTTTTTTTTTTCCTACTATCTTTTTAATAGCACTTTGCAACACATAGTGCCTTGCAACTTATATCAAGATCCTGACTGTTTTAACAGATAAAGTGAGTAGCAATGTACAGGATAGAAGAATTGAGTTTTCATGAATGACTGTTAAATAATGTGGATTTGGGTTTTGCTCATCTCTTCTTTGTACTTGTAGTGACTGTCATCATTTCTGCTTGTGCCCTGTTTTTGAAATAATCAGCAGGCCCGTGTTGATTGGAAGAGGGAAGTTAGGTCTGGCTTGAGCTTGCAGCAGGAAAGCCAGGGCTCCCATGGCGTGCTTGCAGATCACTTCAAGTTTGTGCCACAACTGAGGAAGGACGTTTTCTGGTTTAGTTACTGAAGACACCATTTCTAGACTTTGTAGGTTAAAAGACATGTTAGTGTTCTTATCATGTAATTATCCTAAATTTAACTTTTAGGAATATGAAGTTTAACATCATGTGGATAAGAAAGAATGAGTGTTGAAAAAATAGGGCACTTGCCAATCTGCATTTATATACAAATGCAACTRCTACTGTTTTCATCAGTGTTTGTCTGCATGGATAAACCAGCCCAAGTAGATTCTTTTTTTTTCTCAGGTGCCTCTGACAGACTGATTTTGCCCTAGTTGCTCTATTTCCAAACGGGAACGTTTACTTATTTATATTGATAAAAGCTCTCTCTGGAAAGCCCTTAGGGCCACTGGTTTCCAAATGTCCGTCCTCATTAACATCCTCATTGCCTGACACTGGTCCCCGTGGGACTAGTCACCTTACAAATTTCATTAGTCCTAGAATATCAGCCTGCATTCAACTTCTGCACGAAGAAGCCTATCTTAGCAACACATCTAGACATCTAAAATTACTGCTGTGTTAATATAAAATAACGGCTTGTTACTCACCTGTTGTGCACTACGGCGTTTCTTGGGCGATGCTCATTTCATAGCCGCAGCTCTGCAGAAGGCTGAGACTTCCTCTTCTTCTGTGCTTAGYCTCGCCACGCTAAAATAGAAGCTGCTCTTCAGAGCAGGAAGCAGTGACGCGGTGCAGCTGGTCCTGGGCTCTTTTATTGGCCACGCTTTACAAGTGGCTTGTTAATATTTCTCATTCGTACCAGGTCTCTAGTGGTRGCTGTGAGCTGGTAGTTGGCCTTTCTGGCAGAAGGTGCCTTGGTGGTGTTTCCAGCGTGGTCAAACTGAGCTGTCAAACTGTGGGTATTTATAAAACAGCTATTTAAATATTTGTGACATAATAAAGGCATATTTTCATCTGACCGAAGTATCCGCAAGAATACGCAGCTTGAGCATGCAGTAATTTAAAATAAGCGTGGTTTAAATGTGTTGTTCTCTGTAGACAGTCTGGTGTTGTGGAAATCCCCAATTTTGTTTGTAGGAGCAGTGGGAGCYTGGAAGTGACAGCAGCCCCTTACCTTCGAAATGAGCCCAACTTCTCATTTCAGGAGTTCCTTTGCTTAGGTCTGTACTCAGGGCAGTTTACCCCACAATATGCTGTGCCTGCATTCTAGTTGTTATCTAAAAGAATAAAATGCCTTTTTAACAGTTTTGCAGAAACAAAGAGAGATTTTAGGCTTTATTGAAAGAGATCTTTTATGAAAAACACTCTGTCTCCTTGAATTTTTATCTGTGATTTGTATCTGGACTATGGTAATATCTAAATGTGTACACAAGACACTGACAGGTTACCAGGAGGGGCCTAATACAGTATATTAGTGATACCTAAATATTTGGACTTTCCTGTTCAGGTGAACTAATACCAAACTAATTTTGTGATTATTCCAAGGATCTCTAAAATACAGTAAGCTCTAWATCCTACCCAGGCCATCCTTCAGATATGTATAAATAGTTCTTACAAAATAAGTATTTATGCATGTTCTATTGAAGGGGGGAAAAAAAGGCTGGAGGAGGTTAATGAGTATCTTAAAAGGAAATTTGTTTTACCAAAAAAAAAAAAAAAAGAAGAAGAAAAATCTAAAGGACTGAGCAGTGTTGAAAACTATTTAGTGGTTTCATCATTAGCAAGACAATTCTGGAGACATTGYGGGTAGGATGAGTCAGTCAGACTGTTTCCAAGCTCATTGAAAATTCACTGACAGTGATTTTTTTTTTTAATATTTTAGGGTTTACGGATGCGTGTGTCTTTCTGGCTGTTATGCRTAGCTTCGGAAAGAGAATAACTAAGCTTTCCAACTCTTCTTGACAAGAATATTTTATTTCACGAAGAGTAATCTTGGCTTGCTGAGCTGCTATTATCCTGTGAATTCCGAGCTGAATTACSCTATGAATGTACATAGACAAGCAGCTGGATGGGGAATGTCCACCTTGGCTGACGAGAGTATAGAATGAATTCTGGGTTAGGGTGGCAAGCAGCCCCGTGCTGAGGCTAGGTTTGGAGGAGCTGTGCCCTGTAAGCTCTCTCTGAGCTTGTGATTTCCTGGGGAACAGTTAAGAGGTTGATATTTTACAGGAGTCTAATTMTGTTTGAAGGCTGTGGCTGACAACTCCACAGGGAAGGTAATATTTTCTGAAGTTAACTGGAATGAAATCAAGCATCTGAGTCGGTGGTTATCCACCTATGTAAACCACTCGGTGGAGTTCAGTGGCATTTCATCCGACTAGCTGGTTTGTCRGAGCGTATAAACGAGAGGCTGCCTTTTGCTTTTGCACGGGCTTCTCAGCCCACCTTGCCGAGGAGCCGCAGGCAAAACCACTCGCCTGCTGGCGGCCTGGAAGGGCCTCCTGCCAGCTCGAGCCTTTGCAGGGGGTTACCCAAGAGAGGTGTTTGCAGCAGGTCTCTTCCTTGCATCTGTGTACGAGGGTGCTGCAGCTGCTGGCGCTCAGCACTTGGGCATGAGCACCAAGGAGCTCTGTAGTGCAAAGCTGTGCTGGCTGTCGTGTGAGAAAGCGGGTCAGTGGGCATAGACTCTCTTCTCTTGTCACTTCTTCAGTTTTAGTCATAGGAAGCACCTGAATTTATTTTTGATGTCTTGCTGTGTTATCAGCTAGAGATGGTAACATCTTGCTTTGGTTCCCTTCTGAAGGGTGAGTACTTTCACCACTCCAGCTTCTGCTTTCTGCTAAAATAAGTACTCAATTTTATCTTTTTTCTTTTTTTTTGGCTATTGTGAAGTTAAAGGAGAAAAATACTTTAGTTGTGTTATGCTATGTTAAAGCTGCCTTTGCCTAGTGCCAAGCCAAGCCAGTGTATTTTATGTTTGAGGATAAGGCAGAGTGCCCAGGTGGTCTGTTGCCATCTCTTCCCTAACTAGAGGTCAGCCTTAAAAGAAACTGACTTCATAACTTGCACTGAGGTGAGTGTAAAATATTGAAGGATTGTCTTTACGCTGTTGCTTTTAAAGGAGCAATGTAGTGCCTAGTTTCTCTTTTTCATGGATTTACTCATCATATAGAAAAGAGTTTTGCCTGTCCACTTAACACATGGCAGAAGCTTTATCCAGCTARTAACAGAGGGAAGCTCTGCAACTGAAAGGACAGAAGGGTTATCCTTTGCCTCAGCTTGGTAAGAAATGATCTCACCTCATGCTCTCCTTTTCCCTCTGAACTTTCCATCATTTGGGCTTACTGCACAGAAAGGAGAAGTGAAGCTTTTTGCACAGCCCAGTGCCCCAGCAGTGCAGGAAGCAGCTGTCCCACGTGGCTGTTAACTTACCCGCTGGCCCTTGTGGGCGAGCACACATGCGCTTTGGGGTTACAGTCCTTAATCTCAGTGAAGTTGAGCCTCTTTTCCTTATTCCCATATTACATTGAACACCTGTGAAAGTTAAGAGCACGTGGGGTGACAGCTGTACGGGTTCAGGATGTGCCTATTTAATGCCAATGCATCCAACTTTGCAATATATGGGTAATGCAGAGGCTACACCGTGGTGTTGCTGTGTCTCCTGTCCTGCTCGTCGGCCTGTGAGTGAAGGTAAACGCTGCACGGCGCACGGCTGCTGGCATGGGAAGCGGAGCAGCTGAAGAGCCTCACCTGGTGCGTTCTGATTACTGTCACAGTTTGCATTTCCAGTGTGTTCAGTTAGAATTTGGTACAGTTTGAGCAAGGAGTTCCTGCCTTTCCTTTAATATTAAAAGAAAAAGAAAGGAAAAAGAAATTGACAATCCGTTTTTCTTCCTTTATTTCTTCTCCTGCAGCAGCCTGTGCACATGCTGTGTCACTGCACAGCATTACACAGCAAACACAGCATGTTGGATGCACAGGTCCTGTGTTCAGCATTTCCAGCCTTGGAGAGAAGCAGCCCTTCAAAACCAAGCTGAGGTGACAGTTGTGTCCCGGAGATGTCTGATGGGAGCAGAGCTGCGGGCTGTTGCCCGCCAGCAGTCTCTTGATGCATGCAATACCCTTTAAGCAGATGCCAGAAGARCTTCATCCCTCTTCATCAGCTCGTATCACTTTGGCACAATTCTTCAGACGCTGGGTCTCTGTTCTCTTGCTTTCCACCTGCACTCTGCTGTGCTGGGAAGCAGCTGCTCTCACCAAAAGTAGATTTCTTTTGACAAATATTTCATATCTGTTTAAAATGTATGTGAATATTCAGCTCTTTCTTTTCGTCTGTATACCTCATCGGGGCTGTGCAACATGTTACTTGTTCCAGTTTGAAAATGTCTAGGAGAGCTTTTTCAGATACTCTTTCCTGACTAAGCCTGTTATCTGTTATTATTAAACTGCTCTCAAAAGACCTCGGTGTGTAGGAGTACTGTTCTGAAACTTGATGTGCCGCTCAGGGATGGAGTTARTGTTCCAGGAGAAACGTCTTTATTCGGAATTGCTTGTGCTTAGATTCTTTTGATATTCATAGGGAAAATTTTTCAGACTCCTCAGAGTTTTGGAGCCTGGACACACTTTGTGCTCTGTTACTAATGTCAGTGTTTTGTTACTAACTCAAGTGTGTATGTACAGAAGCAGCGTATGAGAAACTGCTGCAAATGTTTTGCCGTTTCTGTTAGGTGTTTAATCCAAGGTGCTGTAGGGAGTTGCAGTGAACTGTGCAGCTRTTGGGACAGGGGAACTGCGCTTGACATCGAAGGGCACCTTCGTGTGGCAGCTTTTGTCAGCGCGGAGCCGCCGCGCGGGCAGGTAGCTCTGCAGCTCGCCGCGCTCTCTCTGTGCCACTGGCCTCAGGCGCGCATCAGCGAACACAGGGAAGTGAAACTGGGCCCGCGGGAGAAGGTGAGGCTGGGCCCGCGGGAGAAGGTGAGGCTGGGCCCGC